CACATTTAACAGTACACCCTGAATTTATTAATCTGCAGAAAATTATGTATCCCAAAAAAACAACCTATTGAACTTAAAAGGCTTTTGGATACAAGATGGACCGTTCAGTATCGAGCTTGCTTTGCAGTTGAAAACACATTTGAAGCTATAGTTGTTTTATTAACAAATATTTCAAACAGCAAAACTGATAGAAGATATGAAGCCAAAAATTTGTTATTTAATATTGACCATATATTTTTAACATATCTAATATCATTTAGAATTATTTTGGGCAAATTATCATCTCTCTCTAATTATTTACAGTCTCCTCAACTGAATTATTCATCTGCGTGCCAAATGATAACTGCTACATTTTCAGATTTACAGGAAATGAGAAATGATGATAATATTTGGAATAGTATCTGGTCTAAAGTGGATGAATTAGCTAACAATACCGGTCTCAAAGAAAGTGAAGATTTTGTGAAACCGAAAAGAATTAGAAAACTGCCGGAAAAATTCAATGTGTTTTTAACTGAATGCAATTCATTATCTTCAATAAACAATTCCAAAGACTCATGTAAAACCCAGTTGTTTTACCCAATATTGGACAAAATTTTAATGGAAATTAATTGTAGATTTCAGCAGAACAATGAGTTATTAGAAGCTTTATCTAGTCTTGATCCCAAAAATGACGAATTTTTAAATGCACAAAAAATTTATAAAATTGTTTTGCATTATAATATTGTGCATAATTCTACGTTGGAAGATGTTGAAGCGGAATGTAAAATTTTAAAAAAAATTTGTGCCAGGCCTGAAAATAAATGCGTGGATACCACTTTAAAATTAGTAAAGTTATTAGAAAAATTTCAACCAGCTTTTGAAATACTTTTTGGATGTTGTAAAATAGCTGTTATAATACCTGTTTCTACGGCATCGTGTGAACGATCTTTTTCATGCTTGAAACGAATCAAGACCTACTTAAGATCGAAAATGCTTGACGATCGTTTGGCAAATATAGCCATTTTAAGCATAGAAACGGAACGTTCAACCGAGATTGATTTAGATAAAACCCTTGAATTATTTTCTAGTGCCCATCAAAACAGACGCATTGTTTTAAATTAATAACATGTATAGTGTGTTTTATTAATTATTAAGTGCTTTTTTTTGTAAATAGTTTATAGTTGTTAAATATATTACATTTGTATTATGCTTAAGTTTGTTTTTTTTTCTTTTTTTTTTTTTCAAGAAAGTATGGCCCACCTTTCAAACTGTTGGGCCCAACCTGGCCCACCCTGATTTTAAAGTCTAGCGTCGCCACTGGGTTGTTCGAAGGCCGTAATTACCAAAGAATTTAATGCCCAATCGCCAGCCCTGATGAAAAGAACTAGCGAAAACTTCAGAAAATCCCGGGCGGATCGAAGACGCCCTGCCCTTAGTGCGTCAGTCAATCTGGCGAAATCGTATGAAGATTTCTCGCAAGTGAAAAAAGAGTTGGCAAACGTTCAATTCACTCTTTCACAAATGCAGATTGTAGAAGAAACCGAAAAGTTTGCTCATAAAAAATAACTTAGGGAGGTCAAAAATCAATTTTGCAGGCACAGCTGCAAAAAACCCGAAAAGAATCCCGAGAATTAGCGACACAAAAAGGAAAAAGAAGAAAAGCGGCACCAACTCCAAAAAGAAGCTCTTCTTTTAGATCTGCGGAATAAAAAGCATCAGCTTCAAAACCTTATCGACTTGTAAGATAGATTTATAGGTATACTGCTGCTGTCATTACTAATGACTCATTAGTGAGCAAATATAAAAATATTCTTGAATGCAAGTTGTCCGGAACTGATGCAAACCAGAAAAAAAATCAGTGCTGGAAAAAAATTGCCATAGAATTTAATTCTTTATCGCGCCAAATATACCGACACGACAAAGTTTCGAAAAAAAATATGACAACATCAAAAAAAGAACTAGACATGTTACGTCGGTAGTACTGAGGGAGGACCACAACAACTTATTGAAGTTACCGATGTCGATGTGGTTGTGAATTAAATTCTTGGGGTTAGATTAACGGGGCATAACAGCGAATTTGATGGTAATTATGAAGCAACTTGTAAGTATTTTTTTAGTTAATATGTATTAATAAAATAAATCAGTTTCTCTTCTGCCAGAAAACGGTACTGTGTACCGAAACACGTATAGCAGTGACGACGAATATATTATTTAAACTCTGAAAGTTTTTTCATTATTATTAAGAACTAGATAAGACAAACCAACAAGTAGAAGATGACGACTTTCTGATTTCCAGAGCAGATGAAGACATTGGACTACATTCAGTAGATAACTTGAACACTGTTGGAGAACTCAAACAAAAACATAAAGCAGCATTGAAGAGTGTAAACTTTATGAAAAAAACTGCAACAGAAGAGTAAGACAAATTTGTAAAAAAAATTTGCAGATCAACTACACTTTTTGGAAACCAATCAATGTAGAGGTTCACATGGTCTGAGACGATTACTAAGGCACTGTAGTTGTATATGGCATGTGGAGTAAAGAGCTATGAAGAAATTCGTAGAGAAAAACTTCCGCACTCAAGCCCTCGGACATTGCAACATAGGATTAGGAATCTAAAATTTCGTCGAGCTATTTTAGAAGACGTTTTTAATCTGCCCCAAATTAAAGTTAGTATTGGTGGACGTGCATTTAATATATATTATTTAAAAACAGCATTATCATTAATGTTGTTAAATATTTAGATGGAGACCTTTGAATCAGAGGAACGACATGCTACCCTTATCTTCGATGAGATGGAAATTAAACCTGGCCTCCAATATGATAATTCCCTGTCCCAGATAGTTGGTAAAAGTACACTTAGATTATCAAATGGAAATGAAGTTACAGATGAAAATGCAATCCATGCATTGGTTTATCAACTATTTGGAAACAAATAGTGGCACATGATTTCACAGCAAATTCAGTGAATCCTGTGGACTTATACAACCGTAAAACAGATATAATTGAAAGGGCGCATGCAGCAGCTATGATATCAGACATGGGATGGCAAAATAGAAGTTTATGGAAAATGTTAAACATCGTAGCTGGAAAACATTTTAAAATTTAAAATTTCGTAAAGCATCCGTGGCATGGGGACAAAAAATTAGTTTTCATGCCAGATCCAGTACACGTTTTTAAAAATATTGCTACTGCTTTTACAAATAGGCATAAATTTGTTGTGGATAATTCAGTTGTACAACATTATAAGTTACCCTGTAACGAAATTTCAATAGCACCAATGAAAAGGGCTTTTGAAATAGATAGCACAGATGTACTTAAAGTGTGTCCAAGATTAAAACAGAATGTAATTTCGCCATCTCATTTTGACAAAATGAGTGTTTCTCTCAGCATTGCATTACTACACAGTGATGTAGCAGCAGGTATTTTGTATTATATTGGAGAAAAAAATACGGATGAAAAGCATAAAACCACAACTTGGTTGATTAGAGTTTTTTTTAAATGGTTTAAGTTAATGACCAGTCGTTACCACAAATTAGCACTGTCTTACCGAAATAAAGACGAGTATGACGAAAGTATAAGTTTTTTAAAGTCGGTTCAAGACATTATTTGCAAAACTACAGTCAATGGGACCTGGAATCCATTCCAAACTGGCATTCTGTTGTCAACCGAGACAGCCTTTAGATTTCCAAAAACATTATTTAGAAGAAGAGAAATTCAATTACATAATGCTCTCTCGGTTGACACAAGATGCTTTAGAAAACAGTTTCTCGACTATTAGAAGCCGTCAAGCCGTACCTGACGCACACATGTTCAGAGTTTCGTTAGGATTACTGTTTATGATTATTAGAATTGCTTCGAAGGACCAAAATGAATAGTGCGACCGTTGTACTTGGGGTTTATTCCAGAACTCTGGTTACATAATTGTGTGTACCGGTACCGACTAAATGGGGTGGGTGGGACACACCCCCACCTCTCACAACCCCAGGTATAGTGAACCAAGACCTATAAGGTTATATGGCCATCATAAAAGTAGTTGACCGCAAATAAATACCCCCATTGTGTGGTTCACACTAAGCTTACCGGTTGGCAATAAATCATCTTCTAAACATTTCTTGCTCATATTTAACAGGGCCGGCTTTCAAAGCGAGTGGTTATTTCGGAACCCTCAGCGGCTGCAGGTAGTAAAGAAATAGTGGAGTGTTGGATTTTCATATTTAGTGAAAGCCGCCCCTGAACGAAACCACAAGAGCCGGTCGAGCTGCAGTGGACACGTTATTTACGACCCTAAAACCTTTTCTATTGTAAACAACTTAACTTCGACACAATGGGATGATTTTATGATGGCCATATAACCTTATAAGTCTTGGTTCACTATACCTGCTAAAGATGATTGGATATGGAATTTCCAACAATTACTCTGTTTATCGCAATTTGAAACTAGTGTAAAAAGAGGAAATTATGAACAAGATGTTGGTGACTCGATGGTTCAGTATTATGTTCTTCTTTTGAACTACATGAGGAAATTGTTGCATTAGAAATGGACATGAATTTACAGAGTAGTATTTAATATTTATTATCATCATGTCATTTTATAAAATTAAAAAAAAAATGACTACATGTGATAAATGTTTTGCGAACCTTATTACCTCTGATCATTCCGAAACAAATATAAATAAATTACTAAAATTAAAGGAATACAAAGAGAATGTTTTGTAATATGCACATCCAACTTTATTTAAATGTATAATGCCCATTTGCACCAACGTTAGCAGTAAGCATTGCTTAGCTAAGCAATTCTTAAAAGTAACTACTTCTTAAATTGTACAGTTGTTGCACCGTCACTGCTTAGACTCTACTTAACCAAGTAATACTTAGTTGGGGAATTGTGTAAAAGTTTCATTTCTATTGGCAACACTGACGTTTGTTGTTATTGGAACATCAAAAATTTTAGGTTAGTTTGTTGTGTGTACGACAGTCAATGACACCGCGCGTATGTAGTTGTGATATTGTTGAATTAATTTTATGTGGTGTTGAATGTGTGTTTAAAAAATGGATGTGTTCGACGCGTACGAGGATGACTTAGAAGTCATTGAAATTGTTGAGATGGGAATTCCACGGCAGATGTACACTAGAGCTGATCATTTCTATGGTTTACCAGAGCTTCAATTTTTCCAAAGATTTCGACTAACAAAACCAACAGTTTTACATTTATTAACGTTAATTGAAGAACGTTTGGAATTTCCTACAGACAGGTAAAAGTGGTTAAAAAATTTAATGTGTAAATATATTATGATTTGATCATTACAGAAATCAGGCGGTGTCACCTATAAATCAGCTGCTTACTACATTACGATTCTTTGCAAGCGGGGGCCATTTGAGTACAGTAGCGGACTATATGGGAATGCACATCTCAACTGTGTCGAGAATAATTAGACGTGTATCGGACGCTATAGCAAGGCTTTACCACCATTTTATTAAGATGCCCCAAACTCTCATGGAGCAAAGGCTTATTCAAAATGGTTTTTTTGACATCGCGAGATTCCCAAGAGTGATTGGGGCCATTGATTGCACTCATATCAAAATTGAATCACCAGGTAAAGATTTAAAAAACCAAAAACACATTCTTTTCATTGGAACGTTTTTAAGGTGGAGAAAATGCTGAAGTTTTTCGCAATCGGAAAGATTATTTTTCAATTAACGTTCAAGCCATGTGTAATGCGAATATGGAGTTTACAAACGTAGTTGCTCGGTGGCCTGGTTCTACTCATGATATGACCATTTTCAATAACTCGATTTTACGAGCAAATTTTGAGAATGGAGATTATCCAAATTGTATAATATTGGGTAAGTTTCAGTTTTTAATATGTGTAAAAATACATTGCATTTGTTTTCAGGTGATGGTGGCTATGGTGTAAGACACTATTTTTTTACACCATTATTAAATCCACACACTCAAGAAGAGCAGTTGTATAATGAAGCTCATATTCGTACAAGAAATGTCATCGAAAGAACTTTTGGTGTCTGCAAACGAAGATTTCCTGTGCTAGCATATGGATGTCGATTAAAAAAAGAAACTGTTTTGAGTATTATAATTGCGTGTGCAGTCCTGCATAATATAGCTCGACAAATGGGTGAAGATGAACCTCCTCTCCCAGCTGACATTAACCAGCATGAACTGCAGCGACTTATTGAAGATGGTCAAATACCAGAGGTCAATGTTATTGACAACCAAAGGAGGGGCAGTGAAATTAGAAGAAATTTTATAACAAATTTTTTTGGAAATTTATAAATTTAACAAATAAATGTTTTATTAATATTTTATTTTATATTTTATTGTTTTTCCGTATTATCCTGTTTCAGTTTTCTCAGCTGCTCCTTTTTTATTTCAATATCTAGTTCTAAAATTTGCTTTCGAAGCAAAAATTCAACTTGCTTTCTTTCTTCGTCATGTTTTTGTCCTTCGAGTTGTGCCTCAACTAACTCCATTTTCTTTGTAGCTAGTTCGTCGTAAGTTTTCGACAAATGGCTGGAATGTAGTGCTGTTATTGTTGGCCTCCTCCTATTAATGACTGTTTGTAACTCCTTTGATTTCTTTTTTTTCAGGTGTTCAACTTTATAATCACCCCAGTCAGCTTTAAACTGCAATTAATTAATATATATAACAGATGATAACCAACACAGAAAAAGCTTACATTTGCATTTTCTTCCCCTTGGTCATATGTATCAGAAAACACTCGTTTTTTTGTTTTGTGAACCTCATCCATTGCTTCAGGTATGTGTGGAGAAGAGGTGGCAATGGGCACCACATTATCGTTTTCATGGTCTTCGTTATCTTCTTCACCTATAGTTTGCTATAAAAAAAAAAATAAGACCAATTTTTATGATGCTGTTCAACTTACAAATAATTCACTATCCCCGCCGTATTGAGTTTCCAGTCCATACACTGAATTCTCATCCATGGTGGCTAACGTTAGCTGCAGGTATGGATCCTCACATTTTGAAGATGAAGGACCACCTCCTGTTTTTCGCATAAACACTTTTTTATCGGCCACTTCTTTTCGCACTTCTTTTTTTTTATTTGTGTAAAATTTTTGTAATGAGGTTACACTCCTCATGGCACCGCTAGGACTACATGAATTAAATTTATTCGTTAGTTCTTCCCAGCACCGCTGCTTCTCCTTATTTGTAACAGCGTCCGTTTTTTTATTTTCTATAATATGACGCTGTTCACTGATTAATGTTAAGACAAAGGTCTTTTCATCTGCCGTAAAATTTGCTCCACGCTGGCGCTTTGTATTATTCATCTGAAAATAAAACATATGTACATAATTCTTTACAACAAAACGTTGTAATTGTGGTACATACCTTCTTTATATTATTTTTTGTCTTGTTAGAACTTTATTCCACACTTTTCACCGCTGATTACAAAACACTCACGAACGCTGCTACTGTTGAAAGGTTGAAATGGCAAATGGCTGAAATGATTGCAAAATTGCAAATTTTCGATTTCCAAAACCATCATCCAATAGAAACGAAGTATTGTTCCGTTACTATGGCTACCGCACATGCGTTGTATCGTTGTGTCTCGTTAAGCACTGCTTACAAATTTAAGCCACAGGTAAACGGGCACTTAAATTAAGGATTTCTTAGAAGGCTTTAAGAGAGAGTTAACCGTTGGTGCAACGCATTCTTAGTTTTAAGAAAAGCTTAAATTTTAAGTACCTGACTTAAACGTTGGTGCAAATGGGCATAAAGGACGTTGGAAGTACTTTACCGAAAACATGAACACCAAATTAAAAATAATATATGTACTAGAATTTAACAATTTTGTTAATGTACCAAATTGTCATAATATACTATATAAAGTAGTCAAAATGTATGTTAGGAGTAGGATATATTTTAGTTTCAAACAGTCGATGTTGATCTGTTTTAATCTCTTTTACCTACTTCCCAAATCAAAATTATGGATCAAATTATTCAGGAAGTATGTTTCTGATATAAAAAAGTGATACGTATACTTGATTGTTTCTGATCTTTGAAGATGTTACCAGCGACTTTTCCCACAGTTGTGACTTTAGTGAAACCCAGAGTCGAAAATAGTGAGGATGAATCTGAAGACGATTTCAATCGTTTATAAATTTATGTTCTTGATCTAAATGAGAACGGAATTGATGATCATATGTCTGGGCAGTCAGACAATGAAGCATCCTGTTGCGAAATAAACACTAAGAAGAAAGGGAAGATTGTAAAATCAAAGAACATACACAGGAAATGGCAGAAAAGAAGAAGATGTCAACAATGTTCATCGTTAGTCGTTGAATCGAGGCCTTATTCTATATGTTCACGCTGTGGAGTCTACTTATGTGTAGAAAGGGTTAAAAGAAATCACTTTTAATTTGATAATTTTTTTGCAGAATTTAAATTTTAAGGTTATAGCTGTGATCACACATAATAACAGATTGAATCAAAATATGTTCAATCAATTACACTATGCAACACTAAAAAATTCACAGAAAGTTCAGATAGTGTTTGAGGTTGGGTATACTCCATATACTAAAGAAAAAAATGTTTTATACTCATATCACATCACAAAACATAGATAACGTGTGTTTTGTTTTTCTTACTTTTTGAGACACTTGATTGCATTTAATCGTAAAAATATCGCTTTTATGTATCCACCCATTCTTGCAGACTTCTGTTGGTGTCTTCAGAGGGATACTGCGAGATCTGGCTATAATAGGAATGCCAATCGTTCGAAAAAAAAAGACCTTTTTCAATGAAAAATGAAGTATTGTTTTATTAATTTTGTATGATTTCAAAAAATTCAATAAACATTTTTCATTGTGATATCTGATGTGATATGTTGGGTACCTATACTCCATATACTAAAGAAAAAAATGTTTTATACTCATATCACATCACAAAACATAGCTAACGGGTGTTTTGTTTTTCTTACTTTTTGGGACACTTGATTGCATTTAATCGTAAAAATATCGCTTTTATGTATCCACCCATGCTTGCAGACTTCTGTTGGTGTCTTCAGAGGGATACTGCAAGATCTGGCTACAATAAGAATGCCAATCGTTCGAAAAAAAAGACCTTTTTCAATGAAAAATGAAGTTTTGTTTCATTAATTTTGTATGATTTCAAAAAATTCAATAAACACTTTTCACTTTGAAACCTGATGTGATACGATTCTTTCAAGCATGATCCTCAATTGAGTTTGAGGTAAGAAATTTTAACTACATACTGTGCATTCTGTGAATTTTATTTTTTTTTAATTTGTTGCATAGTGTTATCAGTCACAGAAACTATGCCAAATCCCATATATCAAAATAAGGAACTATTTTTTATGTTTGATTTTGTACATTTATGTGTTCGCAATAATTTCCTAAATATGAAAGATCCAATGCAAACATTGCAAGGTAAAAATATATAAACTAGCCCAAAAGCTATAAGCTTATAATATGATCATAAAAGTAGTTGACTTCAAATAAATACCTTCTTTGTGTGGTTCGCACTAAGCTTACCGGTTGGCAATAAATCGTGTTCTAAACATTTCTTGCTCACATTTAACAGGGTCGGCTTTCAAAGCGACTGGTTATTTCCGAACCCTCTGCGGCTGTAGGTAGTAGCCGATTAACGGCGTGGTGAATTTATATATTTAGTGAGAACCGCCCCTGAACGAAAGGACAACAGCCGGTCGAGCTGCAGTGGACACGTTATTTACTACCCCAAAACCTTTTCTATTGTAAACAACTTAACTTCGACACAATGGGATAATTTTATGATGGCCATAGAAACTTTTAGCTTCTGGACTACTATACTTCGAGCATTTACAGCGAGGAAGTTTAACTGCAGCCATGAAATATGAAGAAACAGTTTTTTTTACATACTTATGCAATTTTTCAATATATAATTTTTAATAATAAACTTGAAAGCAGATTTTTAAAAAAAGATAACCAAAAACCAATAGTAATTTCTTTGGTGTTAAAAAGCTTGGATATTCATAATTTTTTCCATGATATTTTGAAGAGATTTGCGTATGTGGCAACAGTAATAAAATTATATTTCAAATAGTTGCCCAAATTTTCGCTTATATTTTATTAAATAATTACTAAAAATGTACAAAGGATGTACTTCATAAAACTTCAAATAAAAAAAGAAAATCGGAAACCTTTAGCAAGTAAGTGTTAGGGTAAATTTATTGTGTTTTATTTTATTTTTCTACTCCCACATAGTAATCCATGAATTACGAACTGTCTAGCCTCATAGTAAAACCATAGTTACACCCACTGGCATGTAATGAATGAACAGGCACGTAATATATATATATTACGTGCCTGTTTGGGTAGTTTCCATAGCAACTATAAATATTTGCTTTCCCAAAAAAAATTCTTCTGAAAGTGATTCTTCATTATAGATCGTAGAAAAAGTATATGACACAACTCTGGTGGTAAGCTAATTACGAACTCATATTACATCACTCGCTCGCTACGCTCGCTCGTGTGTAAACTTCGTTCGTAATTAGCTTCTTACCACCCTCGATATGTAATATACTATTTTTAATTATTATTCTGTATATGTATCTATTTCTCTGGGTTTTATAAATGTATTTCCATTGCTTTTTGCACGGCTTGTAAGTATAGGTGGCTGTGACTATATCTATATAGGCGATAACTAAAGAAAAATTTACTTTGCGATTTCGTTGTTATTATAAACTTGTAAATAATACGGTAGATTGTACTGAATTATTAAAATTAATTCATTATGCCGTACCGCGAGTGAATGCTAGACAACATCCTACATATTACCTATAACAAAGCGTCGAACACAAAATTAAATGTAGGTTTAAAGTCACCACTTTCAATAATGTGTAAATACATTAATAGGCTACCTAATTTTGATCTCAGTTTTTCATCGTTAAGAGATCTTAATTAACTGTAAGAAATCCGTTTAATGATGTTTTATAAGAGAAGAATTTGCTAATGTATTTCATTAATAAGAGTTCCATAGTTTAAGTTACAGTTTAAGGTACTTATTATAGGAGGGAGAAAGAATGAAGACAGAAAGACAATAGCCAGATTTAGGGTGGGAAATGAAGAAGGAGAAAACTGTTACTGGAAAGAGGAAGAGGATAGAAGATGCGGATTATGCAGGGAATTTCCGGAGACGATTGAACACTGGCTAAAGGATTGTGAAGAGTTACGGGAAGTCGAGAAAGATAGGAATGAGCTATTGAACGAAACAGGTGATGGTCTGGAATGGATGAAAATGATATTAGAAAAGAAACGAAAATAAGGAAGCATTTCGAGAAAGAATATTAGTTTAAGTTAAAATATGTTTAATTGATATATATTTGTACATATATAGATATATTAAGGGAAAAATGTAAACCGGACTTCTTTCAAGTCCCGAATGGGAAAGAAATAAACAGTTACATACATACATACTTATTATAGGAAACTTAATTTCTTTTATTTCTTACTTATTTGTTACTGTCGGGGTTAGAGTTAATACATGTTTAGTTAACTATAGTAACTTTTTTTTTTGGAAATTTATAATTTTAAGAAATAGATGTTATTACTATTGAACTTCAATTGCATCATCCTCAAAAAGTGAGCGGTAAATATTTAATGCGAAATTATGTAAAGTTCTGGTTTGCGCAAAAATACCCGTGAATAAACTGTTTTCAAAAATTTTTTGGAAGTTTACACATAAAAGGGTGACAAATGAAAGCACTTCACGAAAAAATGACGTGACTGACATTTATGAAGATACGTTAAATCATATTAAACATATTATTGGAATCCATTAGGTGGAATATTTGATTGTAGACGAGACCACCGATTCTTGTGGTCGTTATATTGTTCGTTTATTAATCGGAAGCATACGTGAAGATGAGCCTAGTCAACAGCGTGCAAGTAAAGTAGAAAAAACAAACCACTTGAGTATTTTGAGAGTGGTAAATGAATGTTTAGTGAGCTTTTACTCTCCTAACTTAGTTGGTAAACCCTGGACAAGAGTTAAACCATATTTACAAAAATTGAATCCATGTTACCTGTTTGGCTCATGGAGTTAATAAGAGTTGCGGAGCAAATTCGACAAGACCAATCCAAGAATATCGGGAAAAATTACCGGACACACCTTCGCTTCCCGAACCGATTTTAACAAGGTGGGGCACTTTGGAAGTCGCAATATTTTAAACCACTTGAAGTACTCATTTAAGAATTTGATGCAGCGAACTGTGCTGCTATAGAAAAATGTCAAAATATTTGAGATTCTGGGCTAGGTAACCAACTTGCGTTTCTTAAAAATCACTATAATTTTGTTATAAAAACTATTAACAACTTAGAAGAACAAAATAAATCGCCGGCAGAATCAATTAATAATTTAAAAAAATTGGAACAAAATATTTTGAAAGTGTTTTTTTTTTCAAATACGCGCCCATTACATTGATGTATAAAGAAGTTTTTCTAAATATAACAATACCTTGTCCGATAAAAGACAAAGATTTTTAATCGATAACTTGGAAAAGCGTATGGTTTTAAATTACAATAAAAAATAGTTGTAGTGTTTGAATTAGGTAATATTATGTTTTAACTTTAACTGTGTTATGCAAGTTTCGTTGTTGATGTTATTTTAATAATAAAACTTGGTACTTAAACTTGATTTTTTTTAATTATACCTTTTATTGAGTATCTAGGTAACTATTGATGGCGTTCTACCTATTATTATTAACAAATGTTTGTAAAAAAAGCAAATTTAACCAAACTAAACTTTCAATCGCCATTTTCTCGAAAACGTCAAAAGTGGAAATACGTTGTTTTTGTTTGGCACGGCCGCGGCCGTATTGTATGAGGTTAGTTATCCCCACATTAAATAAATGATATAGCTGGTATAATCAGAATTATAGTTGACAAGCAATTTTTAATTATCACCTGTCGCCGAAAAACTATAAAAAAAATTATCGGAGAAAATTTTGAAATTGAATTAGCGATTTTTGCAAAAATTTTCATAAACAGTACAGACAAAATTACCAGAAAATGTTACATTAATACATTGACATAAAAAGTCCGGCCCTAGCCAAAGTCATACCTCCGTTGCGAAGGATTGGTAATGGTTTTATTGCAGGTTGCGGTCCAAAGTACTAAAGACCGCTCCTAAAGTAATTGATGGCGTTTGCAATTATCTTTCGTAGTATTTTAACAACTCTGACCAATTTATATTTAGGTACAAATATATATTAACCCTTTAATGACCACAAATCAAAAGTAAAAGGGTATTTTATAACTATACGGTTTACCCTGAGTGCAGCATACTGTATATTTATCGAAATGCTGCAAGTTATAAGTGTTCACCTACTAATTTGCGGGTATCCTATATAACCAATGCGAACCAGAGATACCCCAGCATATGCAAAAACTCATACAAAATATTCCCGATAAGCACGTTGTTGGAATAAAAACAACCGAGATGCCCACGTGTGGACTTTTTTCCCTCAACGTGTTAAATGTTAAAACTGTACATTACTTACCGGCAATCAGACGCAGCAAAAACAAAGCCTTGGTTTTTTTGTTGTCCATATCTGCAGGACGTTGAAACCGAACACAAAAACCATTACGACCAAGTGAATCGAGCTATAACAAAATGTGAACATTAAAGTAACCATCAAAATCGTCAAATAACATACATACCATCGATATACTCGCTGCACTATGAAAAAATACACAAAATATTCTAAATTGCGCACTACAATTATTAAGGTTATGTCTTCAACACGTCTAACTCAACCGCGCCGAACTGGCCAACTGTCGATTCTTTCAAAGAACGAACACTGATTGGCCAATTCCTTCCATTTTTGAAGAGGGGGGATTGGAAATAGCCAATAAACGTACAGAGGTTCTAAGTGGATTATAATTGAGTATGCAACCGTGCAATCAGCTAACCGCAATTGAAATTTTGTTCGAAAAATATTGTGTAAATTAAAGTTAATCTTGTCAACTACCGATTTTTAACTACAGTCGCCTCGCAGTCATAATTTAATAAGTAGGATACAAGCCACAAACCATAGAGTTTGAGAAATTTTCGTAATTTCACAAAATCAAGAATATTTTTTTACATGTCTGACTATATTAATTTTAAATTGGTATATGTTAAATTCGTAGTTAATACACGTAAACTAAACCAAAATTAGCACTACTGAAGTGTTATGATAACTGCGCAAGCATTCTAGTTCACAGTGGCGGAACTAGCATGAAATTCTAGGGTGAGCTAAGCGTTGTCAACGTCGTTGGAAGTATCGTAAGTTCTGATTTCAACAAATCCAAATTACTTTGATAAAAAGTGGCTAAAGGAGTTAAGTCGTCAAAATTTAAAAATTAAGTATTGCTAGGGTGCAAAGCTGCAACAACATCAATAATGGGTCTCATCTGGCCAAAACCATTTTCAAGTTCAGAAATAGTAAGATCGATAGCAGGGAAAATATATGGATCCTAAAGTCATCTTTTGAATTTAATTGTACATAGTTCTTGTACGGTTTGGTCAACAATGTACTTTTCAAATTTTTTTTTGAATTCTTCTTCTACATTTTTTCCTAATTTTTTTATTACTTGTTAAGTCTATGTTATTTTCTTGACACATTTTTTCTGCTTCAGCATATATTGAAGAAAATTAACAAGGCTATTAGCATGGCCAATGTCATATATGCCACTTGTTGAAGATAATCGCTAACACCTTTACATAGATAGAATCTTTGTATACATACAAAGTGTTGAAAACACACTCACAATTTATTTGATGCAGCAAACCCACAGCTTCAGATGATCTATCACTCTGTTCATTAAACAAAGTGCTTAGTAAAATTAATATTTGTGGAAAAGCTTTCTTCATTTCAAAGCATACGAATACTTGTTCAGACCATCGTGTGTAGTAAGTAGGTATGTTTTAATTCAGTTGGTTTTTGTTGTGGTTTTATGTCTGTCTAAATTTTTAAAAATCTTGCATGAACAACCGACCCGGATATGAAAACGTACCTATAAGTTGTCCAGTAGATTAAAGAAACGATGACTTTTAATATAGTTTTTACAAACGTCCACTACCACCAAGTTTAATCTATAATTATAACAGTGGACATAAATGGCTTGATTAAATTCGTCTCTAAAAAGTTTTTGAACCCTATTTAATCTTTTGATAACAGACAAGGCATAATTCCCATTTACTTTGATTGTGATGAAATAAAGAGAAGAAAACCAGTTCTTCAAATGAATCTTCAACCAAGAATTGTTTATTGTTTATTGTTACTTAATTGCCAACAGAAAAACCCAAATAAGCAGTTCACAAAGTAATTTAGACCTAAAACTAATGAGACATAGTTAATAAAAATTAATCTAATTTAAACAATGCAGATTGTACCTTAAAACAAACAGAAATAATAAAACTCAATAAACATGATTATAGGATAACATTTTTCTAATTTATTCAATTTACAATTAACTATATCGATAGATGAAGGTAGGTCATTAATTAGTCTTGTAATTCTCATACAAGGAGAGTGAAATCCATAATTAGTTCTTTGAAGCTCAATAGAAAATAAATCTTTACCTCTAGTGTTATGATGTTACCAATATACTACTGATATTCAAGGGGATGTAGTATCCATGCGAAAGATATAATTTTACACTTATTTATATTTAATGACATGTCATTATTTTTACACCAATTATTTAATGAATCAATGTCTTTTTGAAAATTAATAATATCATTATTAATTTGTTCGTTATTTCTAAAAAGAGGTTCAAATCATCTACAAATAATAAACACTTTGAATATTTGAAACAATGAACAATATCATGTATAAATAAAGGGAATAAGATTGGGCCTAAGTGACTCCCTTGGGTCTTGGAAAACACCGGATGTTACCTGTATTTCTTTTGACAGAAAACCCTTGATTTTTTGGATACGACCAATTAAGTAGGAAGTTAACCATTTAAACATATTTCCGATTCCACCGTATTTCGTTAGTTTGTTAATAAATTTAATATTTACCCGATCAAATGCCTCTACAGAACCTATACTCACAGAAACAAATAAATTTTCACAGGTATTATTTACAGGAAGAATGATTTGATGAGATGCACAACTAGAAAGGACAACAATTAGCACACTTTCACCTCTGGATTTAGTACTTGTGGTAGCATCACGGTCTTTTCTATAAGCGGTGTAATTTTCAGAAAATATTTCAGAGGTAGAAATAATATCATCAACACCAGTTTCAATTAGAACAATTTCGTGATTTAGATTGGCAGTAGCATGAAGTATATCAACAGTTTTCGTTTATTTGATAGAACATGTTGATGTTATTATGTCCTTGAATTAAGCGTTTTTTGGTTTATTAACGATTTTTGGGACACCATTAATAAAACGAATGGTTTTGTTTAAAACTCCTTCGCTTTGAAGTTGATTCAGCTGAACTCTTAAATTATCAAGATATTGACGTTGTGAATGAGTTTGGTCCGCTTGTATGAAGATATTATCATTGAGTGTCTTTTTGTTACGTAATACAGATAACGCATCCTGGGAGCAGGGCATAATAAATTTAATCGGACGAATAACTCCTTGTTTGTATTTGCCAAAACGAAAGATTTTAATCCCATCTATTCTTACGTCAGGAGAAATCAGTTCTTGGATGACAGTGAAATCATCATTGCGGGATTCCGGTACTTGAAAGAAGATTAAATTTGATTCACGACGTTGACGATCCATAATTTCATTCATTATTTCATTGCAATCGCATCGATGTCCGGCGTCATTGACGATATCAGCGTTATCAGAGGTTGCCTTTTTTAAGTTATCACTTATTACTTTTTTTAAATTATTAACTTCTTCCTGAAGACTAGAAGTGGTTGCAATAAGTTCGTTAATTTTTAGCAAATTGACTTTTAATGATGAACATGCGTTGCAATGAAAACTGATTTTACGGTCTTCTTTTTTTAAACATTTTAGTTCCGCAGAAGAAAGACCCGTACATCCACCATGGAAGGTATCTTTACACAAGTCACACTGGGCCGTATCTTTGTCAGCCACAATATCATTGCAAAATTTGCAAACTGGAGCCATTATTTAGAATTTAGATTATAGAGTCTTGAGGAAAAATCTCAAAAAAAAACTGAACAAAACATCCAGACAAATATGTCACAGAAGGAATCTTACACCACCAAAAATTCGACACAGTTGAAGTACCAGCCTCATACGTCACAGTCAAGGACAAAAAAGCAACGACCACCATAATCAACCCAACGGACCAAGAATATAGACTTTCACACTGTTCAAGCCTTTAGAAATCAATACGGTCAATCCATACGAATTCAATCCACAACCACCACTATGTCCAATTCACCCAAACATTGACGAAATTTTAAAGGACAATTTGTGCAATCTCCGACTAAAGCACATGAACACAGAACATGCCTCGGTTACATTGATGACATCATCATTTTTTCAACATCACTTGAAGAACATATCTCACGACTAAAAGAAGTCTTTGAAAAATTAAAAAAGTAAATTTCAAAATAAAACTGGACAAAAGCGAATTCTTGTGAAACGAAGTAACATATTTAGGACACCTTATCACACCCGAAGGAGTGAATCTAAACTCAAATAAAATAAAAGCAGTCACGAACTACCCATTACCGAAAACCCAGAAAGAAATTAAAGGATTTTTAGAACCACTCGATTATTACAGAAAATTCATACCAAAGTTTACACAACTCACAAAACCTTTAACAAAATGCTTGAAGAAAAATGCCAAGATAACGCATGACCAACAATTTATGACCACCTCCGGGACCTGCAAGAAAATTTTAATCAACCATCCCATTTTACCATACCCGGATTTTTCAAGACCATTTATCTTAAAAACAGATGCATCAAATGTAGCCCTAGGAGCAGTCTTATCACAAGAACAACTAAGAGAAGATAAACCAATTGCTTACACATTAAGAACACTCAATGAGACTAAACAAAAAAAGGTACTCAACGATCTAAAAAGAATTATTACCAATAGTATTGGCTATGGGCAGCAAAATATTTCACCATCTATACAGATCATCGCTCACTTCAATGGCTATTCTCACTCAAAGAACCTAATTCAAAATTAGTACGCTGGAGATTAAAACTAGAAGACTACGACTACAATATCGTCTACAAAAAAGGAAAATTTAATACAAACGCTGACGCCCTCTCAAGAATACAGATCTGCCCTCTAGACATTGACACACGATCAACTGCAGTTCAACCAGATGAAGAACTTGAATGGTTACTAAACGAGCTAACACAGGAAAATGAAAGCCAAAATTCAGGATTAATAAGAACTCCAGAACCAACAGTCAGCAACAACGACGCACTTCCCATTCCAAACTTAATCGACTTGTCACCAACAATCCCTGAAGAATTCTCAATACCAACATTAGAATGCCAACGCCAAACAATTCCCCAAGACATTCACCAATAGGCAGTTCACCAAGAAACCTATCACCAAGTAATTCATCAGAAACAATATCAGCAATTTAAGGAACAAGCCCATCCGACACATCGACATTGCAGAAAACCAGATTATCAACTAACAGATTACAGAACTACCCAATCAGATTTCAGGCAAACAGGAAATAACCAACCGAATTACAACCGATCAGAAAATAGTCAATCTGAAAGACCCATCACTAACACAATAAACACACCATCAGTAACCTCACGACGAGAAAATAACGAAACACCAAGAATAATCAACATCTGTGAAGATGCAATCGATCGAAAAGAAAGACAAATTTTTATAACCACAGTTCAAGTCCAAATCGCTCAAGGCAATAACAATTATTGTTGTCTTGAGCAATTATAATCAACAAATCGAAGATCTTTATAGATTATTGCGTTTTCGACATCGAAAGAATGTACAGAGATTTTTGCAAAGTATACAACACAACATTCAACGCCGAAGGACCAATTCTCAAACCGTGTACCAAAACAATAACTTTAATCACAGACAAAAACGAACAAAAGGAATTGATAAGAGATGACCATGTTGGGAAAACCAATCATCGAGTAATACGTGATACATACACCAGATTACAAAAAAATTAACCATAGACGTAGCCGATTACATCAACAAATGCGAAATATGCAAAAGGGCGAATACGAAAGACATCCTCCCGAGATTCCACTAAAACTGACAGAACAAGTTGACAATCCCTTTCAACAAACAAACATGGATCTATTTACAATCGAGGGAACCACATTCTTAACAACACCATCGAAATTTGTGACAAACTATTAATCTTTTTCCAACACTATGGAGTACCAGAAAGAATCACATTTCACTCAGGACTAGAATTTAAAATGACACCGTGAAAAAACTTTTGGAAACCCACAAAATCCAAGCTCATTTTACAACACCAAGATATCCGCAATCAAATGGTTTAATTGGAAGACTACATTCGACTCTCACTTAGAACATTACCGAATTCTGAGCCAATATTTCAAAGACGTATCAATCACCACCATGGCTTACGCAATTATCGGATACAACAACTCAATCCATTCAGTCACAAAATCCTATACATCTGTTTGGAATCAATGCAAATATTTGAATATAACAAATTTAATAAAAACAAAGCAAAATCTGAATTAAAGTAACTGGATGCAAATACACAAGTCATTACGGGCGTGTGGCGTCAAATTTTAAAGTTACGGCAGTTAACAGGAGCACAACAAAAATACCCCTGAGGTGTTCTAGCACAAGCGGAGTTTGGGGCTACAGGTCGGGGCTGTTCTCCCCCCACGACGGTGATTCTATCTATCGCAAGCCTACCCGTACAGCACATGACGCGGCTCGACTAGGAACTGCACTTCTCTTCTGCCACGTTTTCTGTGTTATTTAACCTCAATCCCATTTTAAATGTTCAATTCTTTATAACTCTGATATTAACAACAACTGAACAAGTGTTAAAATTTCAAAGAGCAATAAATAACATTTAAATTCGCCATACAATCTTGTGAGATTTTAAACAACAAATAATTCTTATGTGAGATAAAATTGGACAAATTAATTAAAAAAATAATAATTTATACGATGGAAACATTCATCAACAAAATATTTACAAAACAAAAACTAGCAAAGATTTATGAAAAACAAAAGATCTGGTGTGAAATAAACTTAAAACTACAAATAAAAACATTGCGTAGATTAAAACTGTAGAGCATGAAATTTACGTTCAATCAAAATTATACAACAAAGAAAATTACTGAAGTTAAAATTGTGAGATTAAAGAAATATTGTATGAGGTGAAAAATTGCAAAATTAACAAAATTTACACGAGATTAATATTTGCCACACTTTATCAACGATTCAAACAAAGAGTTTACATTATGTCAAATTATATCATGATCTAAGTGATTGGTTACTTAAAAAAAAACAATTTACTTTGAGAGTTTAGCATACCGCGAGCTGGTTACCCCAACAAAATACATAATAAACAGACACAAAAATATCCAATCATCGATGCGAGGAAAAAGCGTCTCGGTGATGTAAATTTTTATCGTTGCAAGGAAATACCTCGATGGTATTATTAATCCCTAGCGTTGCGAGGAATAAGTCTCGTTGCTGTTATCAATCTCTAGTGTTTGCGAGGAGCAGCCTCGATGAAGTAATAAATATGCAGCGTTGTGAGGACAAGCCCCGATGAAGTAATCAATCTGTAGCGTTGCGAGGACTAGTCTCGATGAAGTAATCAATCTTTAGCGTTGTGAGGACAAGCCTCGATGATATAATCATGATCACGACGATAATCACGATGATAACCGTCTAAGGGAAGAAATTATTTTAACCCGCCGCCAATTCGCAGTATAATGAATTTTGTTTAACTGCCGTAAATGAACTATTAGCAATCTTGTGTGAAGAATTAAGAAGTGTTATAATGTAACACTTACGTATATGCATCCAGAAACCTATTCGTAATTAAACAACAAAGTGTCAAAGTGTTTTCCTGACCAAGTGAATTTCATGAAATCTTCTAGCAAGTGGTTTATTTAAATAATCCTGATTGTTAAATTATGTTTGTACTAGCTGATGATTAAGAAAAACTAACTTGATTGGTGAATTTACAAACAATAAAACAAAGTTACAGCACGTGTTTCGCGTTGAACAGAAGTCCGCAAGAATTAAAGATCAGAAAGATCTGCATATTACGTTCATTTTTGAGATACCTCTTACCGAACCTCATAATTACAATTTTTACCAATTATACCCATTTCCCATTCAGCATGATTCCAAAACTTACCAAATAATTATACCGTCCCACAAATACCTCTACCTTAACAAGCTTTACTTCAGTTTGAACGACGATAAATGTAATGAAGTCACCCCTGGAGACTATATCTAGAATTTGCCACAGACTAGCAAAATTTCCAAAGAAGCACCTTGTGAAATTCAACTACTCAAATTTTCGAAGAGTTACCAGCAGTGTAATATCATCAAAGTCAACTTCAAAAATATGACAATCAGAAAAATCGACAAGAACCAATGGATTGGAATATTCCCAATTGAACAACCAGCCACTTCAACATGCGGATAACAGGAAGAACAAATCTCAATAAAAGGAAGTTACGTTTTCACCATCTCAGATGGTTGCAAATTAAGAATCAACTTAACGACTCTTCAGAGCTACCAGAATCCTGAATTCAAGAAACAGTCAATCCAAACAACGAAATTAGCTATTAAGTGTCCAAAGTGTGAAAGCATCACCTACGGGCAGCGGATTCATTTGCGGGGAGTAAAAAAATGTTTTCGTAATTTTATTACAAAACAAGTTAAAAAGTAACACCAGTATTCCTAGAAAAATTGGGGTGGGCCTCAAAGTTTTTGGTTGGAATTTACAACTCATATATTTGAAGCAGACACATGATAACTGGAACAGGATATTCTGACACATTGTCAGCAACCACACACACCTGTAAAGAACTTCAAAAATTTATTTTCAAAACTAAAACATCTTCTATTGTAGTACATGCAGATTAACACAAACAAAACTTAATTTTTCCTTCTTCATAGCCTGAATCCTCTACTACTTCAGACCTAAAACTTTTTTTAATCTTCCAGAATTTCTTCCGGCCAAGCGGTCTTAACTTTAACCATTGCTGGACATTCAAAATGGAAAATGCGAAACTGGTCCTGCAAAACAAATCACGTCAAACGTCCGTAGAAAATGTAAATCTACTAACATCCTCGGCTGAACTGTACGTCCCTTTGATCCGGATGAACACAACTGGTCTTTCATCAAATGTAATGATTTCGCCTGACTGATGATCTTCATCTCTACGGTCAAACAACAATTCCCAATTTTCATTATCTACTGACGTTTCGACAAAGTATCTGTAGACTATGAAGTCCAGATCATACAACAATAGTATCATACTGGAAATTATGTATGGTTGATCTACAAATTTTAAAATACACTTTATTTTATTTCTGTATGGAAAAATTCTATTTAAGAATAACAATATACGTACTTAGTTGAATCACAATGCCCTCTGTATCAGTACCTATTAAATGATATGCATATCCATCTCTGTAATCCAAGTCTTTTTCGCCACACCACAGTAAATGTTCACCATGATTCCTATTAACAAAATAAAATGTCAAGCAAATTGTGTAAGTGGTATTAATTAATAACTGTCCTTCTATACCACTCAAACCACTAAGAATCGGGAAAAAAACAAGCTGGCAATAGCGGTATAGGAGAATTAAAATAGATTATGCGATATGTTAAAATAAATATTTCTTATATCGCAGGTGACTTAAAAAAAACGCTCCAACAAAAAATAAATATTTAGAACCATTAAGCAAATAAAAAAAATCTGTTAGAAATTATAAAACCAAGAATTTCGAAACAAGATTTGCCCTAATTGCTGTTGTATATCATTTCGTCGGTAAATTACACTAGGACAACCGTAAGATTATTGGCCACAATTGGGGTTTTACCTCTTAGGCACGTTAATCAGGGTGAAAGGGACAACGTCCTGGTGGCCGAGCAGAAAATGGAGTGGTTTCAGTGGGTGAGAGTCCCATAGTCCCAGTTGCATACAGCAAGGGAAAAGGAGGGGTTTTATGCATTAACTTGTTACTAATCATCAGTCTCCAACCGAACATTTATTACTCATCATTCAAGACTTAGCATAGTCACCTCGACCAAACGGTCATACACATATTCAACATTCTTATTCAACCAGTCATTTGTAACGTGGTTATTCGTAATAAATTAATAACATCGCGAGCCAATTTGTTGTCAATAAACAAAACAAATATTGTTTCTGCACATTTTTTTTTAATAATTGCAAACTAACAGCCGGGTCCTAATAAACTGTTCATTAGTCATATGTAAACCCTTGAGCATGTTGATGACACAAGCCTTTAGGTCAGACTGCCTACCGGATGACTGGAAACAGTCAATTGTTAACCAATCTTCAAGAAAAAAAATAATTTTGATCCCTTTGATTGTAGACTTTTGGTTTTTTTTCGAAAAATCGAAAAATTAAAAATGGAAATAAAAAATTAAGATTTAAAATCCAAAAATGGGAGAATAGGAAAAACGAATAACTGAAAACGAACCGAAAAATTGAAAAATCGAAAATTTTTGAAAAACTGAAAAATCAACTCAAATATTAAAAGTCGAAACATCGAAAAATTGAGAACTCGAAATAACTAAAATTTATAAAATCGAAAAATTAAAAGATGGAAAATGAAAAATCGCCCAATCAAGATAAAACAAGATTTCAAAGTATTCAGTTTTGCAATTCTTGATTTATTCAAAAAATGGAAAATTTGGAAAGTCGAAGATACAAAATTAAAAACTAGAAAACTTTGGGGAAATCGAAACAAAAAAAATGATAAAATCGAAAATGTTAAATTTAAAAAATCGAAAATCTAAAAAAACAAAAAATTAGATATCAAAAAAATTGAAAAATCTAAAAATTTAAACAATAAAAAATTGAAGAATCGCCAAACCAAGACAAAAAAATGGAAAATTGGTAAAATCGAAGATATAAAACTAAAAACTCGATCAATTTTGAAAAACTGAAAAATTAAATCAAAATACCATTAAAAAGTCGAAAAATCAGGAAATCTAAACAAAAAAATGGTAAAATCGAAAATGTTATATTCAAAAAACCGGAAATTTAAAAAAACAAAACTAGAGATCAAGAAACTGAAAAATCTGAAATTTAATAAAATCGAAAAATTGAAAAATGAAAAAGACGAAACCTCGAAAAACCGAGAATTCGAGAAGTTGAAATTGAAAAATTCAAACATCCAGAACTCGAAACTCAAAAGATCGAAAAATCACGAAGTGGAGAAGTCGAAAAACCGAAAAACTGAGACATAGAAATAGTCCAAAATTGAAAAATTCGAAACTGAAATATTTAAACTTTAAATACCCGATAAATCGAAACATTGAAAAATCGACAGACTGAAAATCGAAAAATTTGAAGACCAAAAAATTGAAAACTCGTAAAATCAAAAATTTAAAAAACTGATTAATTGAAAAACCGAAAAATATAAAACATGGAAGTCGGAAAATCGAAAGATAGAGAGATCGAAATATCAAAAAAGACAAAAATCTAAGATTTAAAAATCGGAAAATTGAAAAATAGAAAAAACGAATAACTGAAAAGTCGAAAAATTGACAACTCGAAATAACTAAAATTTAATAAACCGAAAAATTAAAAGATGGAAAAATTGAAAAACTGCTAAATCAAGATAAAACAAGATTTCAAAGTATTCAATTTTGCAATTCTTGATTTATTCAAAAAATGTAAAATTTGTAAAGTCGAAGATACAAAATTAAAAACTCGAAAATTTTGGAGAAATTTAAAAAAACAAAAAATTAGGTATCAAAAAAATTGAAAAATCTGAAAATTTAAACAATCAAAAAATTGAAGAATCGAAAAACTGAAACATCTCACAACCGAAGAATTAAAAGATGGAAAAATTTAAAAATCCCCAAATCAAGACAAAAAAAAAAAAGAAAAATTGGTAAAATCGAAGATATAAAACTAAAAACTCAATAAATTTTGAAAAACTGAAAAACTAAATAAAAATATTATTAAAAAGTCGAAACACCGAAAAATTGAAAAATCAAGCAATCGGAAAGTCGAAAAATCAGGAAATCTAAACAAATAAATGGTAAAATCGAAAATGTTAGATTCAAAAAAACGGAAATTTAAAAAAACAAAACTAGAGATCAAGAAACTGAAAAATCTGAAATTTAATAAAATCGAAAAATTGAAAATTTGTAAAGTCGAAGATACAAAGTTAAAATCTCGAAAATTTTGGGGAAATCGAAACAAAAAAAAATGGTAAAATCGAAAATGTTAAATTTAAAAATCGAAGATCTACACAAGTAAAAACTTGGATATCAAAAAATTGAAAAATTTAAACTATCAAAAAATTGAAGAACCGTAAAACTGAAAAATCGCGAAATTGAAAAATCCCAAAACCGAAAAATTAAAAGATGGAAAAATTGAAAAATCGCCAAATCAAGACAAAAAAAAATGAAAAATTTGTAAAGTCGAAGATATAAAATTAAAAATTCGAAAATTTTTGAAAAATTCAAAAATTAAATCAAAATACTACTAAAAAGAGAAACATCGAAAAATTGAGAAATCGATAAAATGAAACATCAAGAAATCGAAAAGTCGACAAATCGGGAAATCGAAACAAAAAAAAAGTTAAATTTAAAAAACCGAAAATCTAAAAAAAAAAAACAAAAAATTGAAGAATCGAAAAACTGAAAAATGGAGAAACTGAAAAATCTCAAAACCGAAATGTTGGAAGATTATAAAATCGAAAAGTGGAAATTGAAAAATTCAAACATCGAGAAATCGAAATGTCTAAAATTTAAAAAATTGAAAAATTAAAAGATTGAAAAATTGAAAAATCGACTAATGAAGACCCCAAAAAATTGAAAACGTTTGAAAAACTGAAAGATTAACTCAAACATTAAAATGTCGGAACATCAAAAAATTGAGAAATCGATAAATTCAAAAATCAAGAAATCTAAAACTCGAAAAATCGGAAAATCGAAACATAAAAAAAATGGTAAAATCAAAACGTTAAATTTAAAAAATCGGGAATCCAAAAAACCAAAGCTAGAGATAAAGAAATTGAAAAATCTGAAAATTTAAACAACCAAAACATAGAAGAATCGAAAAACTGAAAAATCGAGAAATCGAAAGAAAAATGGAAAATTTGTAGTCGAAGATATCAAATTAAAAACTCGAACATTTTTTAAAAACTGAAAAATTAAATCAAAATACTATTAAAAAATCGAAACATCGAAAAACTGAAAAATCAAGAAATCGGAAAATCGAAAAATTGAGAAATCGAAACAAAAAAATGATGAAGTCGAAAATATTAAATTTAAAAAACCGAAACTCTAAAAAAAAACAAAAAAATAAATATCAAGAAATTGAAAATCTAAAAATAAACAAACGAAAAATTGAAGAATAGAAAAACTGAAAAATCCCAAAACCGAAATGTTGAAAAATTGTAAAATCGAAAATTCGAAAAATTGAAAATTAGAGATGCTTTAAGTGAAAATGAATACGAATATACATCAGCAAATAAGAATATACTACAGAATGACGAAATATTGTTAGCATAGATCTTAGATCCAACAGACAGACCGAAAGGAGACGACAGATATTCTCGCATTTTTAAGCGGTGAAACAATAACGTCCCCATTACAAGACTTCCCTTAACTTAAGCTTGGCAAGTAAAATTTAAATTTAAATAATATTTACCCTTCAATGACGGTGGCTCCAAGCTTTTCTATAGCAATATTACTATTTGGTCGGATAAGACCTCCTATTACTAGTGGACCCTGTGACAGATAGGTTGCCTCAAAACTGACTAAACAAAGTTCCTAAAAGCAAACAATTACATTGTGAAAAACAATGAAAATTTATAAGTCATAACTCACATTGACATTGCTGTATTTTCCTACTACTTTAATATACTGGACGACTTGACCCTCAAAACATAAAAACTGTGTATCTCGACAAACATAACCTGTGTAATCAATTATTTTCTTCCAGTTACGACCGTCTATGGTGACCTCTACGTAGTAACTATAGTACCTACCCAAACAATTAAAAAAGATTAACTTCCCTCGCGTCTGAAGTACAATGAAACACGTTCAGTTTCTCAAATAAATTATACAAATTGATTTTATTTTTGATTTAATCAGTAAATTAGTTAGTAGATATAATGAATCTTGAAATGATATCATAATTTTTGGAACGGGCCAATAGACGAAGTTTTTCAATGTTTTTCCAAAAACCTACATGTGAATAAGATTACTTAGCGAAATTTTTAAACGACGTCACCAAATTTTTGGTGGGGCAAATTTTGCTTAAAGGAAGTAAAAATCAAATTCTGTTACTTACTCATCGTGATTACTATAAAGCCGCATACGAATGCTGTTGATAAATGAAGGCACACCTAATTTTATAACGATCCCTTGATCAATTTTTTGTCGTTCGCAATCTCTAGGTTCAATAGCGCTTAAAAGTCGGGATTTATGATTTGTGAGCACTTCTGCTTTATCTTCTTCTCTAGCGACGTTTGAATCAAGTACTAGAAAGTAAAACTTATTTAATAAAAAAAAAATAATAATAATAAGCAGTACTTCGACGGCCTCTGGAAGGCACCTCTTTGGGTTTAACGCACAGACTTTGTGCTACTGCTTTGAGCAACACATCGTTCTCTACCAAACCAGTTGGCCAAACCACTGACATAAGATCCTGTGCTGAAATCCACGGTAACCTAATGCATTTCAAAACAGAATCGCCTACGTCTTTATTTCTCTCACGCCACTTTACAACTGTCTTGAACAATTCAGTCTCTGGGGCGTAAAACGTATCACGTTTTAAAATCTCAATGATGGACTCCTATACATTAACAAATTGTATAAAATATAAAATAACACAACTATGTAACCTGTGAGAGTTCTGATACGTCAAAGTTTCGTAAAAAATCCAAAGCATTACTATCTAAAAACATAAGACAGGCCTCTTTTAATACATTAAAACGATACATATTCGATATGTTCAAAATTGTGGCAATTTTGTCCAAGTCCACGGCTTCCACTAATTTAATAATCAGAGTGTTTTGCAAGTCTTCCATGCAATACTTATGAGCTAAAATTAATACTTCCAAGCTTAAGTCTATGTTTTTTGGCGCTATTGATATGGAATCTGTGAGTTTAATTATTACTACAAATTTTATTTAATATATTCAATTCACCTGTATACATATACTCTAAAAATAGTTCGAATGCTTCACTCGACGATGCGTCATTCAGTTGTATTTCTTTCTAAAGTTTGGTATTAAAAACAAATATTTTTGATTTTATATTTACCTGTGACGATTCTTGTAAGCCCCCAAAAAGGAGCTTATCGAAGTACTCACTCCGTACAGCAAGTACAGCCTAATAAAATTTGTGTTACATGTATGGAAAAAATTTAAATGTTCACATACTTTGTGGGCGGGTAGTCGCTTTTCATTCGCGATGAGCACCACATCCGAATACTTTTCGTTCAAGTAAAGCGAAGCAATGTGGCCGTGTATGTTCGAATTACATCCGGTCATTTTGCCTGCGCATCTATAAACATAAAACCATATCATTAAAAAAAATTAATCTGCGAAACATGAAACCTACAGAAAATGCGCACACATACACGAACACATTTTGAAATTATGCAAGAACTTTTAGCACTACGAGATCAAAATTGCAAGAGTATTAATGGTTATAATAAAAATAAAACTGTATCATTTTGAAATCACCACATAACCTCAAATAATAATCAAAACAAAAATATTTTTGTTACGTGAGCACGTGGCACAACAATAATGCGTCGTACACAAAACCAGCCACAAAACAGCAAGTTAATGGTATCGTGCGCAACATGTGGAATGTGGATTCCAGGGGCGGAGTCCGTGAGTTATGCAACCGCGCACTCCACTACACTAGCTGAAAAAATGAAAATATTGGACTTTTGTAACATTTGAGTTGCGGTGCCTTTTAAAAATTCATTTTTGTAGCGAATCTACACAAATATTTAATTTTATTAATTATTTTTCATTGTAAAAAAACAAAAATGTGTTTTCATTTTGATGAAACTTTTAAACCGATTGAAGTTGTCATTTTTGCATTACTTAAGTGTACGGTCGTGGACAGTGAATTTCGTCCACCCAATTTCTTTGACAGAAAAAAATTCTAAATTAGCCCTTAGATCTTTCTAACTTTTTTTTGTCATTTTGAAATAAAGGGGCAAACATTTTTTTATACATACTAACACTAGTCCGCGGTAAGCCGAAAAGTGTAGCGACATCCCGTCTTGGAAAAGGAATATTAGTTTACCTTCATTAAAATAACTAATTGATGGCAGGTTCGAAGCTAAATTAAATTTGACAATACTTACGTCAGTCATCATGACAGTAAAGGACCGACTACAGTGAATTTTTGTGAATTCACGTGAATTGTGTGGACGAAATTCACTGTCCGCGACTGTACCAAGTCAGTATTTTTTACAAGATGAAAATGTAACCTTTAACAAAAAAAACTGGTCTAAAATTATTACTATAGAACTTCCCTCGCCCATGGAGTACAATAAAATAAAGTCAGTTTCATTCTGCAAATTATATCTTTTTATAAATCCCCTCTGAATTAATGTATAAAGATTATTAAACCATAATAAATAAAGGATGAATTAACGCATGTGTAAAAATCTTAAATCACGGGGTTTTGTACGTTGTATTATTAATATATCGCAGATCTATTACATCGTAGACAAAAATTAGCGATAAAGGAACGTCCCGGAAGTACAGAAAAAAATATCCAGCTTTTTCGAAAAATTATAAAATTTGATTTTGCGAATTTTATATTTCTTATGAGAACCTCAAGAAGTTAAAATCAAGATAAAATTATGATAATTATGTACGTAAATGTAAAGAAGCGTGCACGGTATGTTTTAAATGAGTTTTTCCGTCATAAACTTTTGTGATGACGTCATCAAAGTTTTGAAAGACATGTATTGTATTGTATATCAATTTGGATTGGGAACTGTAACGCTAATAAAAACTGTATTGTATTCCCAAATTGTCGGGAAAATGGAGTGACCCGTTTCTAGCAATCAATAAAATAAGTGACTTAATTTTTTTTAATCACCCGGGACGTATTTGTCAAAATGAAAAATCACAAGTTTAGATTCACCATATTTTGCGTATGATACTTACTCCTTCTGCCAGGGAAATGTTTAAATAAAAATTATATAAATTATGTACAGAGTCATCAAAATTGATTGATAGAGTTGGTAAACCTGAACTTGAATAATTTGGTTTATTAAGTTGTATAAAAATATTAGCTGTCAGATTTGAAGTTTCAAATTTCAAAACTCAGTGGCGTCTTTTTTCGATTTATTTTTTTGGTAAAAAATATTAGTTGTCAGATTTGAAGTTTCGAAGTTAAGATCCAGTCATTTTTGGAATTTGTTCTCAAAGATGCAAGTAGCAATAAGGTATAGGGTGCACATCGACCAAGGCGATTCGTACAAACGTTAAAACTGTTCGCAACTTTGCAAGAAGGTAAGTTTCGTATTCGCAACTGATTCAGGTGAGTTCGACAATCAATCCCCAGTTCTCTTGTCACGCCACTGAATTCATTGCCATATAACCTTAAAGAAATCTGTCATAAGGTTGACAAACTTCACGACAAAAACAGGGAGTACCAACTCTCTCAATCAATTTTGATGACTCTGTAGATGCCAAAATGTTAGTGTTACTGAATTGGTTGTATTATAATAATAGGCTCAAGTTTAATACCGGTAAAGCAAAATATATTATCATAAGCAACAAAAATTAGGTACATATCTTAGATCATATAATAAATAGATACCAATACTCAAACTGAAAGGTGTGACTAGACATGAAGCTATCTGTTGTCGTTTTCTACGTCAAGGAAAGTAGTATAATGCTATCCTTGTGTGATCACCACATCTTCATCTTTGTTATATGCATTTCATCTGTATATGTCTATTTCACTTCCATCCTTGTACCGCACCAGCGCAACAAATCGCTTTTGACAGATGTTTCTTCTAACCTCTCTTTCGAGTTGTTGTACAAAAAACAATTTTAGAATTTAGAACAAAGATCCTATTTTAAGTGATGTAGTCATAAAGGATCGCAATTGCTGCCCAATAATTTACTATTGCTTTCGTTATCTACTGTGAATTATTTATAAAATCAAGCTGTCAACATCTTTCTTCCGAAGTTAGTTCAGACATACTTCCTAAAATTTAGGCGCGCAAAATTCAAATAGTGATCAGGCAAGGATAGCTTCATTGTAATCCTTCCATGCACGAGAGAGATGTGTGACAGGAGGATGTCGTCACAGGCTGTCCTAGGGAAAGAACACGGCATGGTGGTATCTATTTATTATATGATCTAAGGTACATATACAGATTATCTGTGACATGTAAAAAATTAAAATAGGAAACCAAAATTTAAATCGTGTTGTGATAACCCTAACATCCCGCCTTAAATTGACATGTGAAAAAAAAATGAAAAGCCCGCGAAAAATTCAAAAATTTGGCCTTGGCTATGATCATTTAACAAAATAGAACCCTACATTGTGTTTGTTTTTTTTTGTGGCGAAATGAGTTCAGATGCAAGTGGTGAATCCCAAGGTTGGAAGAGTACCGCTAAATAAAATACAAAATATATGGAGGACACAAAATCATGTATTCCTCCACTGACAATAAAAAGCTGCGACTACGTTGTGCCGGTTGAAGACACCTCTTAAATCAAATTAAACGTTTTGAGTCAATGCAAATATTTGAATATCACAAATTTAATTTAAAAAAATCCGAATTAAAGTACGTCCGTAATACACAAGTTATTACGGAAGTGTGGCGGCAAATTTAAATTGTGGCAGTCAACAAGAGAACAAAACTCTATGCAGTGGGACGCACAGTGACAGCGGTACCAGAGTGCTATAAGAGTCTGGCGATTGAACTATATAAATTTCATTCCAGAGCGCAGCAAAAATTACTCATAGGGAGTATTGTAGCACGACCGGAGTTTGGGGCTCCTGGTCGTGGCTGTTGTCCCACCACGACGGTGATTCTATTCTATCAGCAAGGATGCCGCCCAGCACCCCTCTATCCAGAAGAAACGTGCTGCCCGGAAACAGGCCGTTACGGTTGCAAACTCGTGGTTGGAAATCACGGCTATAGATAAGCTGACAGCGTCACGTCATCCCGACCGCCCTCCTGACTTCTATTCACAGCCTGTATCCTTTTGTGCAGATGGCGAGACCGCCAGCTCGAGAACGAACCGCGCGCTCCGCTTCCGCCACATGTTTCTGTGTTATTTACCTCAATTCTATTTAAATGTTCAATTTCTATTATTCTGATATTAAACTACAACTGAACAATTGTTAAGGTTTCAAAGAGCAGTAAACAACATTTAAATTCGCCATACACTCTCGTGAAATTTCAAACCGAAAAGAATTCTTCTCTATGATTGAGATTGGTATGATGGAAACATTAATCAACAAAATATTTACGAAAAAAACTAGCAAAGATTTATAAAAAAAATAATCTGGTGTGAAGTAAAACTTGTGCAGATAAAAAGTTACATGAGGTTAGGAACTGCATAGTATGAAACTTACGTTCAATTTAAATCATACAGCAAAGAAAATTACTGAGGCTAAAATTGTGAGATTGAGAAAAATTGCAAACCTAACAAAATTACATGAGTTTACCTAATATTTGCCACAGTTTATCGACGATTCAGACAAAGAATATACCTGATGTTAAATTATGCCATTATCCAAGTAACTGAATATAATTTGATAAATTCGGACAATCAAGATCAACCATATCATATGCTAGATTAAACATTTCTCAAAATAATCCAAAATATATTGGTACTATATTAGTTAATAGGCTACTACATGAATTAAAGCAACAACAGTCTGAAAGATTATTCAAAGACAAAACAAAATGTTTGCTACTGAAGAAATGCTACTACTCTGTGGATGAATTTCTAGGAGATAGGTTTTAATTGTCTATTGTAACTCAAGATGTTTTATGTTGTGGTGACAGAATTTAAATCAAAGTTTTCGCACTGAAATTAATTAACAGCGGCGCGAAATCACATTTGAATAATTTGAATTTGAAAAAAAAAAAAATTCAATCATGAAAAGAGTATCGTTAAACATAGGCAACCAAATAGACATGTCGGGTTAATGCATGATCATTGAGTTAGATGGCAGCACATAGCGCTAGAGTGATTTCAGTTAGAGGGTTGGTAGAGAAGCTGCATGTCGTAGATTATTATGAATGTGCTTGTGAGAGTGTGAACACGTGGTAAGCGCTAGGTTTAAATTAGTTGGTTTGGTAGTTAATAAAACGGGAGGAAGCCTTTGTTTAACGACAATCAAACGTATTTTTCATAATGATACAGTTGTCTCCAACCCGCGCGGTAAATTCTTGCGCCCTGTTAATCGGAGAAATGCGGACTTCCGGTCGAACGCGAACACGTGCTGTAAATTTGTTTCTTTGTTTGTAAATTCACCAATCAAGTTAGTTTTTCTTAATAGTCAGCTAGTGCAAACACAAGATTCTTTAAATAAATCACTTGCTAGAAGATTTCATGAAATTCACCAAGTCAGGAAAACACCTTATTGTTTAATTACGAATAAGCTTCTGGATGCATATACGTAAGTGTTACAATATAACACTTCTAAATTCTTCACACAAGATTGCTAATAGTTCATTTACGGTAATTAAACAAGTTAATTATACTCCGAACTGGCGGGAGGGGTTTAAAATGTTTTCTTCCCTTAGGCGCTTATCATCGTTATCATGATTAATTCA